ATTGTACAGTGGCATTAAATGCCGTAATGTGCACCGCTGCCTACTCCTTCGGGGATAAAAGGCGTGAAGTTATGTTATGTTTTTTGAAGTCGGTTCAAAATTGAGTCTCACATCTGCTAAACGTGAAAAAACACAGTCGGTTGATCCTCTCTTCTGTAGAGGAGGTTCATGGTCTAGCAGAGGACTGCCACTGTGGTTGAAGATGAAACGACCACTGCACTGTTGGCACAGCTGCCACAGCTGCCACGGGTAGTGAGCTCGATTCCCGCACGATACAACTCTTTGTGTGATCCACAAATTGTTGTTCCGGGTCCTTTTCTTAAGAGGTGAAAATCATCGAGTGGCTTCTCCCGCCTGGGTGAGGCAGGAGGGAGTGTCAGACTCTTACTGACTAAAAACCACCCCGTCCCTACTCTTGCACTTCGAACCATGGGTATCATGTGTATGTGAACTTGTATGTTTGTAAACCCACCCACAATATAGAAGAAAATCCTGGTGTACTATGTACACAATATGATAATTCATACTATAACCTATCTATCTGCTAAGTTACGTCAAATTTGTTGCAGCAGTTTTTGTGTAATTAACTCAAAAAGATGCAACATGTAGTAAGATATAAAAACAAGACTCAAGTTTTTGTGTCTACCTACAAACCTGTATAATTCATATGTTAATGTTAATTAGATAACATTAGATTTTGAAGGACATTCATAACATTAAACTCGTGTATCTAATTTTAAATACTAAAATAAAAATATTTTCAAAATGAGTATGAGATAATACATACATAACATCACGCCTTTTTATCCCTAAAGGGGTAGGCAGAGGTGCACATTTCGGCATTTAATGCAACTGTACAATGTAACACCCACTTTTCATTATTAATGATATGAGTCCCATGTAATAGGGGGTGAGCATATTGCCATATACCGGGCACAATTCCAGAGTCCGTGCTACTACTGAGAATTAAAAAAGACCCAGTAGTACTTTGCCCGACCAGGGAATCGAACCCGGAACTCCTTGCCTGGCAGTCGCACTTGCGACCACTCGGCCAACGAGGTAGTTAAGTCAGTACTGCAAGTATCCTTATCCTTATCCTTACTAATATTATAAATCGGAAAGTGAGTTTGTTTGTTTGTTTGTTTGTTCCGCTTTCACGCCGTAACTACTAAACCGATTGCTTTGAATTTTTGCAGACGTAAAGTTAGAAGTCTGGATTAAATAATAGGGTACTTTTCATCCCGGAAAAATTATATACTCGAGGGAAAACGAAATTATTGGTATAGATGGCGCTGTGTGTATTGGTATATGTCACATAGGATACTTTTGATCCTTTTGTGACGCGAGCGAAGCCGTGGGCCGTAAAAGCTAGTTTTTTTATAAATCAAAGACGTTGAACGAAACGCGGATAGTCTCTTTAAACACCGACTGTGGCACCTGGCTACTATAGACTTATACGCAGAATACACACACATTGAAACGAAGGACATCTGTCATTGTTTTTTATGGTATAAGCCGGTAAACGAGTGACGGATCACCTAATGGTAAGCAATCAACGTCGCCCATGGACACCTGGAACACCAAAGGCATTACAAGTGCGTTACCGGCCTTTTGGGAATTCAGAGTTTGAGGATCGTTGGGGATTCAGGAATTGGGGAGATTGGGGAAGGGGAGGGTAATTGGGCCTCCGGTAACCTCACTCACACGACGAAACACAACGCAAGCGTTGGTTCACGTCAGTTTTCTGTGAGGCCGTGGTATCACTCCCGTCGAGCCGGCCCATTCGTGCCGAAGCATGGCTCTCCCACAGTTAAAATTAATAACCCGTTGACATTGTGTTCGCCTTTTTTTCAAACTCCTTATTAAAAATCTAATATAACGATGCATATTACATAAACTAGATAAAACTGTATTAATCGCTGTCTTATCTTATAATAAATTACAATTAGGTAAATGACACGTTCGTTCATAAGCTGTTGGACTGATTTTGATAAAATTTTGCTCAGGCATTTCTAAAGATGAATTTTTTGACACGAGTAACGCTCGAATACTGTATTTGAAGTCGCGCTTAAGTATAGTTTTGTCTCCACAAACTCTTTGTAGAATGACAGAGACCGCACGATATTTAAATGCAATTTAAAATTGAGTAGCCTTTCCATATTCAAGCGTAAGTTCTGCAATCCCTCGGGTGGGCAGAAGACTACCTAAACTGTATATTTAACTCGTCGAGTACCGGTTTTGTAGACACAATTATAGAACAATAGGTTGCGGTCACCGGTGACCGCTTGGTGTTTGACAGTTTAATCTATGTAATCTAGTAGACTCGTTGGCCGAGTGTTGTGAGTATGTTATGAGTCCCACGTCCCACGTAATAGGGGGTGAGCCTATTGCCATATACCGGGCTACTACTGAGTTTTTTTTTAAACCCAGTAATACTTTGCCAGACCCGGGAATCGAACCCGAGACCCCTTGCCCGACAGTCGCACTTGCGAGCACTCGACCAACGAGGCAGTCGTTTTGTGAATAAATACGTTAAAAAAACCATGTAGGGGGTTCGGTTGCCGCACGGAGCAAATCTTTGTGTGAAACAAATTTTTGTTTCGGGTCTGGTGGCATACTCTTGAATCCAATTCCAATCGATCGACATTGGTATTGTGAAATTTCGTACTGTTGAGTTGTAACACTAGCACCCATTGAATACGTATTGCGCGGATATTGAATGAACTAAATGCGGTATTGAGTTTTGCTTTATATTCCGTACTCTGAATGCTATTTTAACAGCTACGATAGGGGTATATATAGTTATGACATTTAATAATTATTGAGATTCTATTGGATTGAAATTGCATTGACATTGAGATTGGTTTCAAAAGTAAGCACCCTGGGTGTACATGAAATTGTGAACTTGTATGTTTGTAAACGCACCCACGATACAGGAAAAGTCCTAGTGTGAAAATAGGGCCCCTAATTAGGTACTGGGTGCCTTCAGTAAAAGGTATGTCAAACTATCAAATGTGTTTTCTATTATCGCCGCATTTATTAACGTTTTGCTAATAACAATCATTTTTTTATAGAATAGGAGGTAAACGAACAGACTGATCCCCTGATGGTAAGCGATCAGCACCGTCAATAGACACTCGAAACACCAGAGGAGTCACAGGTGCGTTGACGGCATTTTAAAAAGGAGTACGCTCTTCTCTTGAAGGTTTGAAGGTCGTATCGGTTCGGAAATACCGCCGACGACAGATCATTCCACAGTTTTGCTGTGTTGTTTAAAATCTGTTTTTAATTTAATTAAATCGTGTACAAACGGCTTCCTTTCACCGATAGGAAAAGAGATTTGATTGAAAAAGAGTACTTATACTATGGAGTTTCTTGCTCGTTCTTCTCCATAGGAATCTACACCTTGGAATGAGCAAATAGCTTCACTATTAATTTTTCTTTGTTGACGTTCAAAAGTGCCAGTGCAGTGCAAAGTTTTGACTTTTGACTTTTTGACTTTTGATACCCAACTGGTAGTAATTGTTAAATAACAACACTGACAAGTGGTTGTTACCGTAAGTTAAACGTCGTATATCTATGTATTTTATTGAGATCTATTTATTCAATACATTATTTATCGGTCATATATATGTTGTGTATGTAGTAGTACTTAAAGTACTTATTGGCTTAAATTTTGGTAATTTTTGTTTTTTTTTTTTTCATGCTATGTTACACACAGTGTCTTACCGTTTTTCCTGTCGAAGGACTGGACGGAAGAGATTCCTACGGGAATATGTAGTACCTATGTACCTCCAAATTATCTATATATTATTATGTATTCTCCTGTGTACTGTCTGTGTGTTGTGCATAAGTAAATAAATAAATAAATAAATAAAATAAATAAACTATGGTCACGCATTCGATTTGGGTGGCTGAACTTATCTACATACTAGCTAGTAGACCAAACCAAGGTCCAGTCACATTTTATAAGTTCCGCAATCTGTTTTTGCAAATAAACGATTTTTATTTAACTCGTCGAGTACCGGTTTTGTAGACACAATTATAGAACAATAGGTTGCGGTCACCGGTGACCGCTTGGTGTTTGACAGTTTAAAATAGGAAGCTCATTACGTTATTTGCAATTTAAAAGTTATCGCACGATTCCAACCCAGCAATGTCGTTGTCATTTAAATATGAACTTTATATCTTACAAGAAGCAAGCAACAATTTAACTCGTCGAGTACCGTCAACCGTCATTATAGACACAATTATAGAACAATAGGTTGCGGTCACCGGTGACCGCTTGGTGTTTGACAGTTTAATTGAGCAAATAAAATAGATACATTTACATATTTAAGAGATAATACATAGACATTAATAAACATAATTATAATATACTAGCAGTCCGTCCCGGCTTCGCACGGGGTAGAACATTTTTTTTTTTTTCAAAATGAAATGTAGCCTATGTTACTCGGGGATAATGTAGCTTTCCAGAGGTGAAAGAATTTTTGAAATCGGTCCAGTAGTTTCGGAGCCTATTCATTACAAACAAACAAACAAACAAATCTTTCCTCTTTATAATATTAGTATAGATGTCGTTATACATATTTCATATTGTCAATATATGAAAGCTGTAAGCGCGCCGCCCGCTTATTTTTGCAAAGCAAAAAACGCCGTGTTCGAGCCGTACCGGAGCCGTGCTTGAGTCGTGTTAACTAAGTGATGACCGTAGAAGGTGGGTCGCCAGCAATGAAGACACGGCTGTTGGATATAATATTTTAATTCCCGCCTTTATCTTTATGTAGCAGTTACATTAGAATGAATCTAAATATTATAAAAGAGGCGATATTTATACAAAACATCACGACCTTTATTTATTATTTAGTAAGTAAGAAATTACTTACTAAATTCACAAACATAATAGATAATATTCATTTATCATTTCCAGACTATGTCATCATCAATCTACTATCGAATGCTGGGGCATGCAGTGATCCTATCACTGCACGCTGGCAACTCCTTGGTGATGTTCCTCTCGATGAAGGATGAGAGCATCATGAGAGACCTGGATGTCAGGAAGATGACGTCATTGCAGAGTATGTACTTGACTGTGTGGAATATTGTAAGTAACTACTGCTTTTTATTGTAAGAAGTTCTTATTTAACTAGCATAACATACAATACATCACGCCTTTTATCCCCGAAGGAGTTGGCAGAGGTGCACATTACGACACTTAATGCCACTGTACAATGTAACACCCACTTTTCACTATTTATGTTAAGAGTCCCATGTAATAGGAGGTGAGCCTATTGCCATATACCGGGCACAATTCCAGACTCTGTACTGTTACTGAGAATTCCTTTAAAAACCCAATAGTAGGTACTTTGCCAGATCTGGGACTCGGACCCGATACCCCTTGTTTGGCAGTCACTCGTGCGGCCACTCGGCCAACGAGACAGTCTTGACTTGTTAGAAGTATGACTATAACGTACAAAGTATGCAGTTAAGATATCTTTAAATTAATTTCAATATTTTCTTTTCTTTTCTAGGCCTTCCAAATGTCATATTTCTCGCTGGCATTGACCTGTGACCTTCTCACCGTCACAGGACGAGAACATCTGGTCTCCAAGAACATCAGACGGTTCCGACAGACTTTTTTCAGCTCAATCATATTTCCTGTTGCCGCGGTGAGTTCGTTAGCTTCTAGAAGCAGTTCAGTAGCTCTTATTAAAGAGCTCCTGATAACCAGCTCCTAATTTAGATAAGTTTTTTGTAATTTTACAGGGTTAAATTTATTTTAATGTTTAATCAATATTTATTGCCTATTGCCATATACCAGGCACAATTCCAGACTCAGTGATAATACTAAGATTTGTTTAAAAAGCCTGTAATACTTTGCCTGTCCCGGGAATCGAACCCGCGACAGACCCCTTGCCTAGCAGTCGCACTTGCGACCACTTGGCTAACGAGGGAGTCAAATATATATATAAAAAAAATCTGGAAACATCAACGTCGCTATGGACCCGTGTCGCGTGATGTTGCCAGACATGTCGACCGAAGTCTGGCAACGTCGCGCTACATCACCCGACGTCGCTGGCGACTCGTGTCCCAGGACATTTGTCTCCTGTATCATTGGCTTCATACTACGATAACATAACATCACGCCTTTTATCCCCGAAGGGGTAGGCAGAGGTGCACATTATACCAATGTACAATGTAACACTCACTTTTCACTATTTATGTTATGAGTCCCATGTAATAGGGGGTGAGCCTATTGCCATATACCGGGCACAATTCCAGACCCCGTGCTACTACTGAGAATATTTAAAACCCAGTAATACTTTGCCCGACCCGGGAATCGAACCCGAGCCGGCAGTCGCACTTTCGACCACTCGGGCAACGACGCAGCTTCATACTACGATCTAACCAATATTATTTCTGTTTCAGGTTATCTTTGTGGTATTTTGGCCAGTGTTTATAATAAATAGAGAACTGCTATTCCCGGAGTTCATAGACAAGATATTTTCCTTTAAATCTAACTTTATAATGCATTTTTGTATATTACCCGCTGCGATGTGGGAGCTGGCTTTTTTACCGCGTCCCATACCAAAGACACATCGGTACAATCTAGCTATTATAACCTCCTTGTTCGTCATTTATATGGCTGTGTGAGTATTTTATTATTTTTGTTTTTTATAATAACTATCGTGAGACATACTAAATTAATTTAAAATCGTGAAAATACTGAGAAAAGATCTACAGTTTCGAGTCACAGAGAGGCCATTCTTCAAGAGCAGCGTGCGTTGTCGCGGCCCGAAACTTTTCTCAGTATTGTCACGTGAGTAACTCGCGATTTTTAGTTATTAACCAACTTCCCAAAAAAGGAGGAGGTTATCAATGTATGTTTTTTTAGTGTGTATGTTACGCGATTACTCTGGCGTCTGTACACAGATTTTTAAATTCTACTTTTGTTGGAAAGATTATACTCTCGGGGTGGTCCCATGTCCTCCAGGTTAGGATCTGATCCACAAGCCCATAACAAAATATAACTTAGGTTAATGGTCTTGGTTATAATCTGTCATAAAATTATACACAGCTTCGGTAATATAAGATATTTGTTACGGGTCTAAACAATAACTTTTCTTTAAAACTTGTAGCACCGACTTCTCAGTTATCAGTGGTTGGGTAACCTATAAGTACTTATAACTAATAATAGTTATTTTTTGCTTTTTAGCTTTGACCTTTTGCTTGTTTTTATGTTTTAGTTTTCGAAGTCGATTTTTCACATTCTGTTACCTCTATGGGGGAGTAATTCACCAAATGACTCCAACTGATAAATGGATGAGGCGTGAAGCAAGGAGTATCAGACTCTTACTGATTATAATCCATCCCGTTTTCAACTCCTGCTTTAAGCCGCAGTATTATTTTTAACGTATAACTGTTAGAGAATGCAATTAGGCATTAATTCCGCCATTGTATATTTTTAGTACAAAAAAGGTGAAATAAATAAATTATAGCGCTTTATCCGCAATCACTACCGATCCTCAACACTAGAAGAACCAAATACGAATCGTTATACGTATTTGAATAATTTTCCGTTGGTGCGGTGGCTGGGCAACTGGCTGCCGTGTGTCGCAGGTTTGATTCCCGCACGGAACAAGTCTTTGTGTAATCCACAATGATGTGTATGTGAACTTGTATGTTGTAAACGCACCTACGACACAGGAGAAAATCCTAGTGTGGGGCAACGTTTTTTTTTTTGTAATAATTTAATCAATCGTTTTTTTTTTATTTTTCCAGAGTTCTTCACACTTACAACCGGCGTGGACTGTTCCCGTACCCAATTTTCACAATGACCTATGGAACGATATACTTCCCAATATTCTTAGGTTTAATATTTCTGATAGGCCTAGCCATATACTTTGCCCAATGGAAACTACATTCATTAATTTGGGGCCAAGAGAAACTAAAACAAAACAAAGTAAAATTTTCGTAAACTAAAAACTAAAAAACATGAATAAGTTATAAATTATAATATAATATAATAAATAAATTATAAATTATGTGACTTATTTTTGTAAATGTGTGTTGATGAGATTGATTTTTAGCTATGTTTTATATTAGTAAATAGGTGTTTCTTCAAAAATCTTTAACTTTTGTTTAACAAATCATTATCCTCCCGCGTTGTTAAGAATCTGTATTTTATTGGATTGGATGAGAGCAGTGACACGGCTCAATTTATTGAAACTAAACTTTGTATTTAAATCAGCAGAATTGTTAACTTTGACTAAAGGATAATGACGCCGATAATTTTTTTTTTGGAGAATCACCCAAATCTATGAGTGGTCGCCTACCTGCATTAAGCGAGCGTGGTGATTAATGCTCAAACCTTCTCCGTGTGAGATGAAGCTTTGCTCAGCAGTGGGCTTTTATAGGTTGTTGATGATGATGAAAAGTATTCTAATAATAGTTTGAATTGTGATGTGTGACCCCTGTGTTTATTACAAATTAATCTCAAAAACCTAAATAAAGATATATTTATTTAAATAGTGACTTTTATTTAATCACTGCTCTAATG